TCTTCTTTATTGGAGTATATTATGATGCACCCATAATGCATATACTGTAAAAGTCCATAAAACAATTTTCGCCCTTGAAAGGTGTAAAATAGATTGAAAAAATCGCAGGGTTTTAACTGCAGTGCTGTATAGTTTAACATTCGTGAACAATAGATTATAATAATTATAAATATATAATAGAATCTAAAACAAAATTTAAAATATATATTAAACTTGCACTTCACTAATAAGCTTAGGTATATCAGGCACATACTATATAGTTAATAGAGCAATATAAAATTTTAAAAAGCGCTATTTAAAAACGCCATAATATTGAGGTAATGCATTATATCTGGTAATAATGCATAAGATCTATAAAAAGAAAAGCATTGTATATATAGATACCAATTTCAAATTTTGATATATAAGTTCTTATTGACTTTTTCATTTTGTATTCATATTCTTAATGCTATCTAAGATTACAATTATTTTTAGCGAGATAATGAGGATAGATGATGATATCTATCTATAATTGGTTGATATTACAGTTTAATAATACCTATGTATAGCAATTATATTATTATACAATATTATGAATAATAATTTAATTTGTTGTATTTTTTTAACAAATAAATTGTATTTATATAGTAATATATATATGTAATAGTATATTATAATGACCTACTTTTGTGTATCACCCTCTGTCTACGTTATAATGCCGATATCGGGACTTAACAAAGTGAATGAATTTACGATTTTTTGAACTATAATTCCAAATATTAACAATTTAATATTGAATACTTTATTTCATTATGTGAGTAACTGAGAAACAGTAAATAATTATCAGCCGGAAGCTAAATATAATTGATTTTCCACGCTTAAGCTGTGTTTAATCAATGAATTTCTTTGAGAGCAGCTCCAAATTACAGCACAGAAGATTTTTTCGATTGAATGTGAAAGTTTTCTGTGAGTGAGTATGCAAAATTTTAAATCAAAACGTCTGTTAGAGACAAAAACACTACCGCAAATATAAACACAGAAATTTAAAAAATATTTTTTAAATATTTTTTTTTAACTTATTTTTTTATAACTTTTTTTCATTGAACTTCAAATAAATTTATGGTTGTGAAATGCTGAGAAATATTTTGCTGAAAATATTTAAAGTAACAATCGGTGAAGTGAAAAAACTTTGTATTAATTAACATGTGATTAAAATAAACAGATACGCGTTACTTCGATTAGCTAAAATAATTTAGAATTCACTTTTTTTTCACTTTTTTATCCACTTAAAAATGGGAAAGTTTTTGTGGTTAAATAAATAAGATTATTTTTTTTATTAATTGATTTTTATTTAAATATTTAATTTTTTTTAAAACAAAAAAACGTTTTTAACTCACGCCTGACACAAAATATTTTAGATTACACTTTCAAGGATAATGGAAATGAATTTTGTAGTTTTTTTTTGGGTTATTTAGTTCTCTTCACAATAGTTTGTTTTGGTCAAATAACACAAAAACTACACATAATAACTAAGGCAACCGAGAAGCACACATTAACGGTGATATTCAGCAACTAAAAGTTAGTAACTAACAGCGAGTGAGTCTAAAGGTAAGCAAGCACCCCAAAGAATTCTTTTTAGCACGGGCGCATAACAAAAGGCGTGCTAGGCATTTTTTATATGGCATGAATACCGAGGTGGACGGACATTTGCATTGTATTTCAGATACATAATACAAACAAATAATATAAAAGTTATTTTATATGAAAACACAGCTGGACAGACAATCTTATACCCCTGACAATAGAACACGTCAATAGCAAACTCGTATGTGTAGCCAAAGCGTTGCAAGACACAATTCAAGGGTTGTTGTGTATGGCACAAGTGGATGCCATTAAACGTCTGATATAGTCAACCCGGCCATCGGCCCACTTGACTCTATGAGTGTACGCATTTAAATGTTATATGTCTATATATATATACTTGTACATATAATACTATTTCAGTTGTGGGTGATTACGTAGTAATGTACTGTGGCACATTCCAGCTTTGGAACTATTATTGAGTTCCAAACTATTAATGTTCATAATAAATCAAATAAAATACTTCAATATTCATATGAACGAATATTTGTTTCCAATTATGAGAAATATAAAAATAAAATTTTGTATTGAAATATATATATTTCCAAGAATGTTTAAGTTATTTAGAAGAGATAAAACATTTTAGCTGGTATTGAGGTAAACTTCTTATCAAATGCATTCAATTTTATGAACAAAAATACGAATTTTAGAAACGTTTTTTAAAAAAATTCGTACAAATGCACTGACTTTAGATAATAAATAATACAATTTAACAATTATCGTTATTTTTTTACCTAAAGTAAATATAATACGTATAATATGTAAATGCAATTAATACACATCATAGTATTCAACTTCGTTCGTCGAACCGAATAAAGTCTTTAAATCTGAATAAATGGAAATGAAAGTTTGTACAACTAAATCAAAAGTCTTGAAAATATAGTTAAGGTAAATAGAAGAGTTCTTTCTTGTGATCCACGGGTAAACATTTTTTTGATATCTATAAGTCGTCACACAGTTCAAAAGTTCTGAGATCTTTATAGACCTTGAAATTTTACATTATTTCTGGTTCTTATCTTTAAAACTGAATGGAATAAACTACTAGATTTACGAAAAATATTTTATATGAATTTATCTAAAGAATTACACTTCTTATCTAAAAAAACAAAAGGAAGAGTTAGCTATAACCTTCAGCCTCAAAGTTAGCATCAAATGTTTTATATATTTAAGTCTTAGCCATAAACCCTACTTTACTATTATCATCTTAAAGAAACTGCTAGTTCAGTGATATATCTTACATTTGTATTATCATGGAACTGTAGCGAACATTAGTAGCACAACTTGGTACCAAAAAAGCTTAAAGCTCAGTTTTTTCCACTCAAACGCAAAGTATAATAAAGGCAAGACATATATGTGACATATAATATGGAAGGTCTTAGCACAATATATTTCAGAATGTTTAAATAGAACTATGAGATGTTACGATATTAGTAAAATACTTCAGGCAGTATTAGGATAAGCAGGTTAGGATATATTGTATAGTAGTGGCAAAAATATATGCTATATGAACAATAATTAATGTGCTGAATAGATAGACTTAAAAGTTATTGGGCTCCTCAAAGTATGGTTCATAAGAAAATCTGGAAAATGAATTACTATTATACGTAGGTGCTATCTACCGGGACCTACTATGTAATGACCTGGAAACTTTAACCAGTTAGAATAACTGGTATATGATGATGTGAAAAACGCTATTATCTTTAAGGCTATAAATCTGAAGTGATACATTTTTGTAAGATTTTTATTTATCAAGCCACTTGATTGCTTGAAAACATTCAATTGGTAATCACGGTGATTTTAGAAAGACTTTTGATAGGATAATATAAAAGATACTGTTTTTACTTAATAGCCAACACCGATACTTAGATATTTTTGAGGTAACATATTTTCTCTTGCCAAATCACATGACTGCTCGAAAACTTTACGAAAGGTTATTTGCGAATGGTTCGGCTATTTTCGAATATATAAGGCAGTCTAAAAAGCTAGTTTGAGTCAACAACAAAAGTATTGACAGGTTTATTAATCCAAACAGATATGAGATATCAGGTAATTACTGATTTTTTAAATTGTTATGATCTTTTTATTTCGAGTTTTCGAAGATGGAATTAAAAAACGACGTTACCGATCAATTCTGTGAAATGTAAATTGAACGTCCGTCCATCTTAGCAGCTCCTACGCTGTGATTATTCAGAAACGGGCCTCATAGCTGGCTTTCTTTAAACCGAATAAAATTTGAAAGCTTAAACCAAAGGATATTGATAAATATATTAATATCCTTTATTTGATTAACTTATATTATTATGTTTAAGGCTAAGAATAGTTAAATGTTGATTCCAATAATAATTCTGCTTAACAGACTTATTCATTTGTGCCATTTAAACTCTTAATATAGCTCAGGGCTTGAATATTTCTTTTGTTTCGTCAAAATATTATTTGTTGAAAATTTTGGACTGTTTTTAAAAATAAAAACAAGAAATTTTTTTTTAATAAAGCGTATAATTTTTTTAAAAGCATAATCAATCTCTAAACAAATAAAAAAGTATCTCCGAATATTTTAATATTGATGGATGTTATTAGATTTGTTCACAGTGCCAATCACAAAGTCTACAGAAGAATTTTAAAAACCTATTCCATCAATCACAGCACAATAGCACCCAGAATAACAGAAGTCGAAAAACATTTTGAACCTATTTTACTCGCATTTTGAAAACACTTCGTATTTCTAGGTCAGTTGTCATTGACAATCGATTTGCATGTGAGGAGCATTTCTTGTCTTTAACTTTTGGCTGAGTTTATACGCTCTTTTGGCTACAAATTAAAAATGCCAAGTGCATCTCGTAACGAAGCAAATTGTTAACAAATAGTTAAGTTTCAGCAACCAATTTTCCAACAGTTTTAAATGAAATCAGTATAATTAGCCAAACACATAAAAGCGTATAAAAAACCAATTTAAATTTGCATAAAATCAGCCAAAAAGTGCTTAACAAACCATAGAACTGCTTTAAGCAAAACTAAGCTTAAGCAAAAGATACTTTGATGCAGAAAGATAGTTTGAGGTGCTTTAGCGATACGTTGGAGGGGCCATATCTCAACTGTAACATGGCCCAGAAATGGTGAATATAAGTGAAAAACCGCTTACGTTTCTGTTTCTGTTCTCAAAGGTCGTGTCTAAGGTGAAAACCTTAAATTTTGCATGGGAAATAAACGAAAAGACCACTTAAGACCTAAAGGGCAAAAGAATTAATTTCGCCGCTACTTTATTTTTCTGCTTCTTTACGTTTTTACGGTTAAATTATTTATTAAACATGTTTTTTATTAGCACAAAAAACATTTTGTTTCTTAAATAAGTTATCCAGTTACGAGTATATTTGTGTAATTACCATTTAATTAAGTATAAAGAAATAACGTCATAATAATCCAAACATTTGCCCAAATGTGCATGACTGAAATTCCGTAGATACTTTTGAAATGTTGTTGTTGTAGTAGTAGTTGTTGTTGCTGTTAGTGCTGTTGCTGTAGATACTACCGTTGTTGCTGCTGTTGCTGTTGTTGATATTGGTGTGTTGTAGATGTTTTTATAATTGTAATTTTTTTTACGAATTGGAGTTTACCCGTTTTGAGTTATCAGGTTTTGCTGCAACAACCGCGTATTTATTTTTAGTGAAAATCACAACACTTGACTTGAGTCAAGAGTGGCTTCACAGTTAAGATTCTGCACAAGTAAAAGCAAATTTCCTATAGTAACGTGCCAAAGAAATCTTTTCACTTTAATGACAATATGATGATACCGATGATGATATGCACAACAGATACAAGATCCTCATAATTACGCACATGCATAAAAATCATATATAATTTTTATGATTGGAATTTTTTAATCACTTCTCAATATTGATTGGAATTTTTAAAATAAATGCACCTTAATTCGCACTACTAATAATTTGTGTAAATTAATGGAACTTATTTTTTTTTTCATATATAAATATATATTTAATATTATATATCTCACTTAAAAACTATTAAACTTCTTCTATTTTTCAGATACTCGTTAGAAGCGAACATTCCCAAACGCGACTTATACTCTGCACGGTTGCAAGCAAACTAAAAATTCCAACCAAACCACAAATGATAATGAACTAAACGCGTAAAAATATTGACTGACTGAAGAAAAAGTTGGTAAGAAAAAAAAAAATTATACACAAAAACAAATGAGAAAACAAGCCAATAAAAAAGTTATGGAATGTTTAAGCCGCGACAAGAGCAAAACAAAAAAAAAGATACACAAAAAAAAACAACAACAACAATAAAAAAGAAATGAAGACGTGCTCAGGCCAGTACCGAGAAAGAAAAAAAGAAGAAGAACATAGCAAAAAAACAGTGGAGGCAAATTTTTCAGAGTTGTCGTTATCGAACTACCGCAGACCAGAGAGAGAGAGAGAGAGGAAAAATTGGAGAACAAACTTAGCGCAGTTGGGTTTTAATTGCCTTGATTTAGGCTTGCTTGCTCGAAATGAGCTTTGGAGTTCCTCGTTCACAGTTAAGCTGGGCTCTGTTGCAACAAACATTTGTTGGCTTGTTTGTGTCTTCGTTGGCTTGTGTCTTCAAGATTGCGTTGCAGTTGCAACCCATTTGTCACATATTTACGATTTATTTATTGCTGGGAGCTAATTAGTCCAACTTTCAGAATGTGGATTTATGTACTAAGCGAATTTGAGGTGCCAGTGAGGGAGTGGAGTAAAATATGATGCGATACAGTAAATTTCCGATTTTTATAAGCTCTTATAGAAGTTAAAATTATTTATAAATAATCATTTCTTTAAAATAATTTTTTATTATTTCTTTTATAATTTATGAATTATATATTATTTACGTAAATAAAAAACAATTTACGGTTTTTACAGTAATTTTAAGTATAATTATATAATATAAATAAATAAAATAAAATATGTTATAAACAGTATATACAGAATCCAGAAGTATTTAAGGTGATTACCTGCCATAATCAAATTTATTATATATAGTTTATATATAATATAAACTATATATAATATATTACATATTCGAGAAGTATTTAACATGATTATCTTCTGTGAATGCTTAACATCATCGTTAACATCTTAACAAACGTATCAGTATAATGCGCCGATAAATGTCCTATTGGAATTCCAAGTCACTTTACCAACATCAATTGAAGCTAAACGTTTAGATATTCTTTCCTCCTTGGTGGAAAACGAATGCATTCTAACACTTTTTCTATTCGTGCCTGATGCTGTGATCGCCCAGTTTAAAAATGCAACTCGACATGAGATATCATTTCTCGATATGAGAAATAATGAATACAGTCTACAACCGTAATATTGAATTTTAACCACAGCCACCAACATACTCTTGTTTAAGGACAAACCTCTATCTGTGTGAATAGTAGTTGCTGCGGGCTTTGTACTTCGTGGTACTAGATTTACAGCACTACAACTGAAACTCACTTAGTATTAGGTTTATTCTAAACAGTACCTAACTATGTGGGTGATAATTATATTCTTAAAATTAATAAAACATCTTACTGGTTTATTAAGTAGTAGGAAAGTGGAGAGCATTGGTAGCTAAACATCAACCACATGATAGTTTGGAATCATTTAAAAATAACAGGTGCTAGATGTTTAGATACCACATGAATTAAATGCATTTGATATGAAATTTTTCAATCCAAGCGATCATGGTCAAAGACCAGTTACGCTTCCATTAACGACTTTAAGACCTAGACTGAAGGCATACAAGTAACGTGGAATGTTTGATGAGATTGAAAGGAAATTGTATATTGCGTGCTTCTGCACCCTAAAGCAACCGCTAATTCGGTATCTTAATGCTCACAACTCAACTAATTAAATGAAACAATCAAGGAAATATGACCAGCATTGGCCAACAGAAAAAGAGTTATGTGCTCTATAATGACAATGTCAGGCCACATATATCTTTACTGACTCAGAACAAATTGACGGAACTTGGCTAGAAAGTTTTCATTCATTCAGAATATGTATTTTGGACTTTCTTAATGGTAGAAAACTGGTCAACCGAAGAACCACTGAGAATCACTTCGCCAATAATTTCGGCGATAAACTACAATAGTTCTCCACCAATGGAATTATAAAGTTACCCTTCAAAAAGCAAAAGGTCAAAAAAATAATAATCTATAAAAACTTTTATTATCAATAAGGAAAATTGTTGTTAAAAACTGTACTTTGAAAATGAGAAAACTCAGTGGGAACTCTAGAATTTTTTAATTTTTTTTTTTAATACTTCATTAACTAACTCCTATTCAATTAATTTTAATTTCCTATAGTCTAATATTGTTTAATATAAGATTAAAATATTATTTTCTAACGTTAAAGTGTGCTATCATAGAACTGAATTGAACAATTTACAAATTTGCAACGTCTTCCAGCTTCGAAGATTTTTTTTCATATTTCCTATTTTGCAACTCATCCAAAGTATGACGACCTAAAAATGCATTCGAGTGCTTACACACAGATGCACACACCACACACCACACACTACATTATAGGCAGAAATAGTAGTATCTATGCAATCGTTTCAATTGTGAGATAAATTCTGACTTGAAAGCCAGCAAACAATCGAGCACAAATTGAATGTCGTACACAAGACTCCGCAATTATGTAGAATGGAGCCAAGCTGAAGCCGAAGCGGAGATGGAGTATGTTGGTTCATTGCATGCCATTCACTCCATTTGTGTGTTTATTTCTGTAAATAAAAATCTTGTAATAATTTGTATGATTTTATTGCCTAGTTTACTGCCTGCTATGTGGCGGCAGTGCGCTGAATGCATCTTGATAACCGATCAAGTGCACTCTCACGCATAGGCTTACAAATGTCAGCCCACACCGGTTCCTCGCACTACTCCCGCTACTTCTATGTTGGATGAACAAGTCTGTAGATGTGAATCTTTTCGTTTGGTAGTCACTTTCTTACAACTGCTCATTCCTCCCACATCGTAGTTTGGTTTATTTTTTCTGCAAACCCGTATTTGCTTCTCTCAGTTAGCTTCGTATCCAGCAGATACTTTGACATCCAGCAGATGAGCTTATGCATGGCGAAGTGTAAATATTTTTGAACTTTTTTATTGAAATGTGGCTTTTACATTTCATTTCGTCTGTGTTATTTTGAACTTTGTAATTATTTTGTTGTGCGTCTATCTGGTGCCGTAGATACGAGTGAGTGTCAGCATTGAAGTTGTGTTCTGGATTATTTATTCCATGCTCTGGATTATTTGTTTCTGTTCTCTTTCTTAAACAGTTAAATTCTTTGTTAGACTATCGAGTGAATTAGTGGAGCAAGCATGGAACAGCGAATGGGCAGAACATAATTGTTTACAGAATTTATTTAATACGTAACGAATCTGGAATTTTTTTAATTTTCAAATGCTCCGACGATTAATGAGTTCAAAAGTCTTTATGGTTGGTTTAAATACGATTTTTAATTAATAAAATATTATAAGCTGCAACCAAAATGGATCAAAAGAAAACAATGTCATCTTTATATAAGGAATTCTGTTCACGTTACACGTATTTTTTTTAACCCAAAAATTATATTATATATTTTTTAATATATAAAAAATATATAATATATAAAAAATTTAATTTAAAACAATTAACCACATAACTACCATTTATAGTAGATCACTAATACAAGTATTTAGTATTATAGGTACGTGATGAGTTCTAAGTTGCTATACACAACATTTGGTCTAAATTTAGTGAATTTTTCAAGAATTGTATTGAAGTAATTTATCCAAATCTTAATTTATAAATGCTTAAAATAATTTTTAAAATAAACTAGCCAGTAAAATTTTTCAAGTATGAAGTATAAAGCATGCTGACAGTCACGTGCACCAAAATCACAGTCCAAAATTAAAAGGTTATACGACGACTCGCTATCTTGTGCGAAGTTCTTACATTATCACGTAAGTTTTCAATTGAATTACACAAAGGAAGAATTACTAGGTGACCATATTAAAAACTTAGAAAAGATCTATTCAAGCTGAACTTCTATTAAATAGCTGAACAAACTTTATACGAAACCATAGCAGTTGTTTAGATCGGAACTAAACACCATCAAAACAATTGTCTGAACCCTGGGCTATATTCAACAGGTACAGAAAATAAAAGAAAATAAAGAAAGCGAAGACTTTATTTATTGAATTTTAAAAAAATTTATAATAGATTATTACTAAGGTTTTTAAGATCTGGTAAGTAAAACATTTCAAATGTAAGGAATAGTAAGAACCTAGATACCTCAAATATTTAAAGATGTTTAAACCTACCTATTTATATGTTCAGAAGTAGAATTATACTTTCATTAACTTATTGTACATAAATTTAATATTTAACACATATAAGATGTTTATTTTTTTAAATACAAAAATAGTTTATATTATACATATTACACATTATTAGTATAATATAAAAGGCTGGATCTCT